TTTTGTCTCAGGAAAAATGCTATAAAACATTAAATCTTGCCTGTCGCTAAACTCTTGTGCAATTATAGAATTATAGAATATAATTTTTCAATAAGCAGGCAGCCATCCTGATCAACTTCAGATCATGTCCCTTGCCTCCTTCCCTTGCTGACTCCACACCTCCTCTTTGGGACTTGAACCCTGCTGGAGCTGGATTCCAGCAGACTTCACTTGCTACCTGGACAGAATGACCTGGGAATAACTGAAACAATGGGTCTTTGCCCTTGCCAACCTGCTGCCTGCCAAGCAGGCTTTTATAAAATGCCACTTGCTTGCCCACCCCTACCTGTGGTTTCAGAGAATAAAATGAGAACACAGACTGGGCTCAGGACCTAGGCCTTTCAGGAGCATCCTGGCTTTGGCCCACCCATGACATCTGTCCTCCATTCCCATTGGAGTCAGAGTGCTTATTCCAGAAAGATTCCCAAGCCGGGTGGCGGCGGCGGCGGTGGCGGCGGCGGCAGCAGCAGCAGCAGCAGCAGCAGCAGCGCACGCCTTTAATCCCAGCACTTGGGAGGCAGAGCCAGGTGGATCTCCGTGAGTTCAAGCCCAGCCTGGTCTACAAAGCGAGATCCAGGACAGGCACCAAAACTACACAGAGAAACGCTGTCTCGAAAAACCAAAATACAAAAAAAACAAAAACAAAACCAGAAAGATTCCCAAAACACAGGCAAAGACTCACACACATAAATGAAACTAAAAGAGAAAAGAAAAGAAAAGAAACTCACAAAATTAAAAATTAATCCCAGAACTCAGGAGGCAGAGGTAGAGGCAGGCAGATCTCAAGTCCAGCCTGGTCTATAGAGTGAGTTCCAGTACAGTCGGAGCTACACAGAAAACCCTGTCTAGAAAAATAAATTTAAAAATAAATAAAAATAAAAACACTTTGATAAAATTCTCCAATTCATCATAAACCAAATAGTTCTGAAGTTTCTTTCTGCACCAGAGTCACAAATGCCAAAATGGTTAACGTAATGGAGCTCTTGGCTTCCATCCCCATCACTGAGAAAAGGAGCTGGAGAGCAGGCCCCTTGGGATCTCCATCTCAGTAGATGGCTCTTCGAGTCTCACCACTGCCCCTCAGCATCACACCCAGCCGACCCTCATGGACAGACTGCTTTTTTTTTTTTTTTTTTTTTTTTGGTTTTTCGAGACAGGGTTTCTCTGTGTAGCTTTGCGACTTTCGTGGAACTCACTTGGTAGCCCAGGCTGGCCTCGAACTCACAGAGATCCGCCTGGCTCTGCCTCCCGAGTGCTGGGATTAAAGGCGTGCGCCACCACCGCCCGGCGGACAGACTGCTTTTAAAGGAACTGGGGGAACACACAGGCATACAATCATTCTAGCATTCCTTCTTCCAAGCCATCCTTGTTTCCCAGACAGCTAGATGATTACTGGAGCTTTCCTCCCAAGACTCCCATCATCTCCTCACCATTAAATAATGGCTAGTGACCTAATGACCTTACTCTATTTTTTTTTTCAGTACTTAAGATGGACTCAAACCCAGGGCCAGGACTGCTACTGTCTCGTCTCCTTTGCTCACATATTTGTGGAAGGCAGATGTGGGGGGCCCCAAAACAGCTTGACCACACAGCTGCCATGACAGGCTTAGAGGCCCAGACACAGCTTCTGGCAGGCAACACCTGGACCCAGGAAGAGCCATAAGCTGACCTCATCAGTGGGGCCTGAATCTAAGAGGAAATACCTGACATTCCAAACATTCCCTGTACCCTAGACAAATGTCAGCCAAAGAGGGTCCTGAACCCTGGAAATCCCCTTACCCCAACCTCTGCTACAATAAAAACCCCACCCCACCTGGGCTCTGGTCTGTTCAGGGCTCTCTGCTCTCAGTGCTGTGTTGGACAGACAGAGAGACCAAGCCCCGGAGCTTAAAAAATAAAGGTTCTTTGCTTTTACATGCAGGATTCGGTCTCCGTGGTGGTTTTTGGGAGTCCCTGCGACCTGCGCATAACAATTATATTTTATTTTTGTACGTATGGGTGTTTTGCCTGAATGTATGTATGTGCACCGTGTGCCTGCGGGGTTCCAGAGGAACATGGAAGAAGACATCAGATGGCCTGCAGCTGGAGTTACTGGTGGTTGTGAGCCACCATGTGGGTGCGGAGACCCAAACCTGGCTGCTCTACAAGAGCAGCGGAGCAGCGAGCACTCAGCCCTGAGCCCTCTCGTCAGCCCCCACAGCCATTCTTAAAAACTGTGTCTAAAGCCAGAGTGATGGAATGTGCCCGCAATCATCTTCTAGGGGGCCTGAACTAGGATTGTAAGTTCGAGGCCAGCCTGGCCTACTTAGTAAGTTTCAGGCCACCTTGGGCTAAAAAGGTAGACCCCATTTCCAAAAATGATTAAGGGCTGGGAGTATTGGTACACACCTTTAATCCCAGCACTCGGGAGGCAGAGGCAGGTGGGTCTCTGTGAGTTTGAGGCCAGCCTGGTCTACAGAGTGAGACCCTGTCTCAAAAATGTTTTTAAAATGGGGGGGGGGGTGGGCTGGAGTGATGGTAAATTTTAAATTAAAGAAATATTCAGAAAGGAGGGCTGGTGATGTGCTCAGTTGGTAGAGGACGGACCCAGCATACACCGAGCCCTGGTTTTAATGCCAGCATCATGTAAATGCAGCGTGGTGTCTCAGGCCTGCTATCCCACTGCTGGAATAACAGAAGCAGGAGAGTCAGAAGTTCAAGGTTGTCTTCAGCTACATATTGAATCAGAAGCCATCCTGGGCTACATGAGACACTGTCCACCCCCCCCACCCCCCCAAAAAAAAGATGGGGCTAGATATATGGCTGAGTGGTAAGACATTTGCTTGGCATGTGCAAAGGTCCTGTTCAACACAATACTCTGTACTGAAAAGGAGACACAGCCCAGCGGTGGTGGGGCACGCCTTTAATCCCAGCACTCGGGAGGCAGAGCCAGGCGGATCTCTGTGAGTTTGAGGCCAGCCTGGTCTACAAAGTGAGTTCCAGGAAAGGCGCAAAGCTACACAAAGAAACCCTGTCTCGAAAAACAAACAAACAAACGAAAAAGAAAAAAAGAAAAAACAGAAAAGAAAAGGAGAACAGAGACAGCTCATGGCAGCAGTTGATAAGATTTTCCAGGAGCGAACAATTGGCTAGAAGTAGTAACAAAAGCAGACACCAGGGGGCAGCAGTATTCCTGCAGTCTGGCAGCCAGACTGACCCAAAGATAGCCGCGCTGAAGCAAAGCTGGCTTAGTGGCTGAAGGATTTGCTGCTGAACCTGAGGACACACACGCGCGCGCACACACACACACACGCACACGCACACGCACACACACACACTGGCGCATTCACACACTAAAAGAATAAATGTAGTCAGGTAGTATGGCGCACTCCTTTAATTTCAGCACTCAAGAGGCAGAGGCAGGTGGATCTCTGTGAGTTTGAGGCCAGCCTGGTCTACGGAGTGATTCTAGAACAGCCAGGGCTGAAACCCTGTCTGGAAAAACCAAATATATATATATATATATATATACACACACACACACACACACACAAAACCCCCCCACACACATATAATAAATGTAAATAAATGTAAGGTGCTGGAGAGATGGCTCATTGGTTAAGAGCACTGGCTGTTCTTCCAGAGGATGTGGTTTAATTCCAAGCACCCACATGGTGGCTCACAGCCATCTGTAACTCCAGTCCCAGGGGATATGATGCCCTTTTCTGGCCCCTGCAGGCAACAACTATGTACTTGCTACACAGACATCACATGGAGACACCCAAACACATAGATTTTTCAAATTTAAAATAGTATTTCTTAAAATTACTTGTGTTTGGATCTGCGTGTGGATATGTGCCTGTGTTCACAAAAACCAGTGGGTGTCACATTCCCTGGAGCTAAAGTTACAGGAGGTTGTGAGTTACCTGTTGAGGATGCTGGGAACCAAACCAGGTCCTCTGTGAGAGCGGAATACACCCATAACCCCCAGCCATGTCTCCAGCCCTGTAGTTTTTTTTTTTGTTTTTTTTGTTTTGGGGGTTTTGTTTGCTTGTTTAACTATTTTTTTTGGTTTTTCGAGACAGGGTTTCTCTGTGTAGCTTTGCGCCTTAGTGGAACTCACTTGGTAGCCCAGGCTGGCCTCGAACTCACAGAGATCCGCCTGGCTCTGCCTCCCGAGTGCTGGGATTAAAGGCGTGCGCCACCACCCGCCGCCGCCCGGCTTTGTTTAACTATTTTACATGTGTCCATTTGGATATCCATTTGGATAGCGGGCATCGAACCCAGGTCCTTTTGAAGAGCAGCCAGTACTCTTAACAGCTGAGCCACCACTCCAGCTCCCACACCTCTCTCAGCTTGCAGCTTTAGAAACAAACAAACAAAAAAACAAACATTTTTTTAGGGCTCACAACTGTCTATAATTCCAGAGGACCCACAACCCTCTTCTGGTCTCCAAGACCAAGGAGGCACACACATCGTGCAGACAAAACACCCAAATGCAGACAAAAAAATAAACAATGAATACATCCTGCTCTTGCAGAGGAGCACCCACATGTGGCTCTTGACCACGGTTAAGTCCAGCACCAAGGGCTCCAACACCCTCTTCTGGCCTCCATGAGCAACTGCATTCACATGGAATACATTCACAGACACACACATAAATTAAAAAATAAAAGCAGCTCTCCTCAATTGAGAGCCCAGGTACAGGGCAAGGTGACTGTGTCCAGGGAGGGAGGAGGAGGCGGGAAGCAAGTGGCTCTTTCTACCCTCCTCTGCTCAGGTCCTAATCAGAACCTTTTGTTCATTAGGGACCTACCGGAGTCCTTACAGAAGCTGCAGAGGCGGCTTTGGAGGTGAGATCAGGGCTGGGTTCTGGTCCCTCCTCTTCCCTGAGCAAACTGCCCTAGCTCAGAGATGCCCAGCGCACCGGATGCCCTCGCTCTCAGCAGCTTCCCACATTCCCACTACAAACACACCAGGTCTGGATGTGTACAAGAGGCACTTTATTAAATGGCTGGAATGCAGTTATGTAAGCACAGGGCTGGGCACACAGGAGAAGGTTGAGTGGGATGGCACACACAAGGCAGGCACAGGAAACTGAGGGACCCCAGGCTGGGCTCTGTTTCCAAGAGTCTGGCATCTCACTCACAGGCAAAGTAGGGGTGAGGGGAAGGTCTGAGCTTGAGAAGTAAAGTGGAGGGTCAGTCACCTGGCTCCCAAGTTCAAGAAGTTTGGCAAAAAGATTCTAGTGTCAGGTGGAAGCACAAAGTGGGCCCAGTCAGCTCGGAACACACAACACACCCACCCCATCCCTGGGTGACCTTGAGCTTCGTTCCTCTTACAAAGACAGCAGTGTGGATTACTGCCCGGGAGCACAGGCCCTTCTTCATTCATTCTCCAGCTTGGACCGGGAGCCTCAGGTCTCCATTAAGAAGCCATTAGCCACTTAATGGAGGCCCTAACCACAGAGGCCTGTTCCCCACAACCACCTCCAACCGTCACTCTGGCTCCCTGCAGCAGGTCCTCCTCCCCCATACTGTCTCTTCATCAGGAAGATTCCTTCAGTTCTGGGTGTGCACTCCTCCTTCCTGTGACCCCAGCCGCCCCCAGGCTGGAGGTGGGGTTACAAATGAAGGCACTCGGTGGCTCCATCCAGCTGTGGAGCCTGATGGACTAAAAGCAGATAGACCCCTTACTGCACGTCTAGATTAAAAAGTAGTAAGAATGAGAAATGCATTTGTTGGCCCTTGGGCTGAATCAGCCGCCACGGAGATCCAGCTCTGTCCCAGCGGGGGCAGGCAGGGCTTAGAGCTGGGGTTCACTGAGCCCACTTGCAGGGGCTCTTTCATCCAGTCTTTCCCTCTCGGCTGGAAGGGGCACCGGAAGTACAAAGAAGCTTGCTGCAGACATCCTGGGGCCATCTCCCACCCTCGACTTCAAGTTACTTTACTATGTTATACCATCTGAGCCAGCGAGGGCTGGAGGGATCCTTCTGTCCCACCTCCCAGGGCTCCACTGAAAACTCCCAAGTGCCCTTGGGCATAGGAAAGAGATGTCCCAAATCCTCTAGGTCCTTGGAAATGAGAACTCAGGGAGGGTAGCAGAGAGGCAGTGATGTGACTTCAGGCAAGTCCGATGAGCTGGGACTCTGACCCAGCCGCTTAGCAAGCACCGGATCACAGCTTCCTGAGAGAGCCAAGAGGCAGATGTCTTTAGGATTCTGCTACCTTCCTGTTGGTTTTATTCAAGAGTTTCTTGAGAGTGGAAGACATGAAGTAGGGCCTCTCAGCGGAACCGTCGTTTCTCTCCAGGTCCTCCACTGTGGACAGAGCCCCAGAGCAGGCGCCATGAGAGGGAGTCCACAGTCAGGGGTGGGCATGGGGAACAGGGAAGGGAGCAGAGGGCTACAGAGAAGCCTCAGGGTTAGAAAGCGACACAGAAGAGCAGGGTGTGGCACCCAAGGTGTTTAAGAGGCTAAGACAACTTCAGGCTCAAGGCCTGCTTTTACAGTAAGTCCAAGACCAGCCTGGGAACAGAATGAGACACTGTCCCCAGATAAAAAGTAAACAAGGCTAGAGGCACAGTTGGGGGTAGAGCCCCTGCCTTGAATCCCCCAGTGAGGGGCTAGGGGTGTGGCTCAGTGGTAGAGCCCCTGCCTTGAATCCCCCAGTGAGGGGCTAGGGGCGTGGCTCAGTGGTAGAGCCCCTGCCTTGAATCCCCCAGTGAGGGGCTAGGGGTGTGGCTCAGTGGTAGAGCCCCTGCCTTGAATCCCCCAGTGAGGGGCTGGGGTGTGGCTCAGTGGTAGAGCACTTGCCTAGAACCCCCCCAGTGAGGGTTTAGGGGTGTGGCTCAGTGGTAGAGCCCCTGCCTAGAACCCCCCAGTGAGGGCTGGGGTGTGGCTCAGTGGGAGGTAGACTGCCTCCTCGTGGAAAAGAGAGGGAGGGGTAGGCAATGACTACAGGCAGGCGCCCCACATTCCCAGCCAAGGAAGCCCATCACATGCACAAACCCGGTCTCCAGAGGCCCCCTGGCGGCTGGCCAGTCTCCCTCACTCTCTACTCCTCAACTTCCTCCTGCTTGCCCGCCTGCGCACTCCCCTTCAATAGGATGTCTCTCAGCTCGGGCGACATGAAGTAGGGTCGCTCCTGAGAGCCGTCATTCCTCTCAAGGTCCTCACCTGGGCCCCCCAGGAACCAGCAGGGGTGAGAAATGGGGTGGTCAGGAAAGGAGGGGGTGGAAAAGGGAGGCAGAGGAAAAACAGGGAAGAAGCCAGCAGGCATGGGGAGAGGGAGAGAGGGGGGTGGGGAAGACATGTGGAGACCAGAGTTAGTGGCAGCCATGGAACCTGCTCTAATTCCCAACCAAGCTAGAAAGTTCAAAGCCGAAGACCCAGGGGAGAGGGTGCTCCAGCTCCAGCTCGGGGCGGAGGAGGGGAGGAACAGTTAGCTCGGAGCGTGGTGAGAAGCAGAAAGGCATGCACGGGCCTGGTAGAGGGGACATCCAGGACCCCGGGGAACTCGGGGGTGACCGCGGTGCTTTCATGGGGTGGGGGAGGATTTCCTTGTCCAGTGGGGAGAAGGGAGTCAGGGCCCCTGGTGGGCTGAGGTAAAGGGGTCACTCACAGAAACAGAGGAACAATGTGTCCACACACATGCCGTAGACGCTGAAGAAGCCATGTGCGATCATATAAGAGCCAATGATCACCGTCTATTCAAGAGGAGACATTGTTACAGCTTGCTACAGTTACCCACCACTCTGTTCTCCCTAGGTTGAGAGACCTCTCATTCTCATGAGCCCAGAGGCTGTGGGTGGTTGTAGCACTCATGGCAATCCTCCTGCCTCATCTTTAAAACATTCTTTTTACCTTTTTTTTAAAATAAAAGATTTATTTACTATGTATACAGTGTTCTGCCTGCATGTGTGCCTGTACACCAGAAGAGGGCACTAGACCTCATTACAGATGGTTGTGAGCCACCATGTGGGTGCTGGGAATTGAACTCAGGACTTCTGGAAGAGAAGCCAGTGCTCTCAACCTCTGAGTCATCTCTTCAGCCTCTTTTTTACCTTTTTTAAAAGAGACTTTTGTGTGAGTGTTCTGCCTGCATGTTTGTATGTGTATCATGTGTGTGCCTGATACCCATGAACATCAGGAGAGGTCAGCAGATCCCCTGGGACTTGAGTTAAAGATGGTTGTGAACTACCACCATGTGGATGCTGGGAACTGAACCCAGGTCCTCTGAAAAAGCAACAAGCACTCTTAACTGCGGAGGCATCTCTCCAGTCCCTTAAAACATTTATTTTTGTCTGGTGTGCTGGTGCATGCCTCTAATCCCAGCATCTGGAAAACAGAGGCAGACAGGTTTCTGTGAGCACAAGACCACCTTGGCCTACACAGAGTTCCAGTCCAGTCAGGGCTGCATAGTGAGACCCTGTCTCAAAAAAAAAATTATTATCATGTCAGTGTGACTACACTGAGTAAATCTTTTCCTGCTTTTCCCCAGTGAAAAAGATTTTTTTGATTTTATATATATGCACACATGCACCTGAGTGCAATTGCCTGGGGAGGCCAGAAGAGGGCACTGGATCCCCTGGAGCTGGAATCACAGGCAGCCCAAAGCAGTTGCTAGTTGAGTCCTTTGCAGGAGCAGAACGCCCGTTCTGCAGAGCCTCTTGTCTATGGCTGCCTCAGCTTTGTGAGTGCTGAGATTGTAGGCGTAATCACTCGGCTGAGTCCTCTTTGGTTGTTGGTGTGTGTGAAAGCCAGGCCAGTGTCTGGAGTCCCTCTCCCCACTTAGTTTAAATGTGTGTGTGTCTGTGTGTATATAATATATATAAAATGTACACATAGTTCATGGTATGTGCACAGACCACAGTACAGAAGTGGAGGTCAGAAGTAAACCGTGGTGGTTGATCCTCTCCACCCACCGTGTGGTCCAAGGCTCGGAATTCAAGCCCTCAGGTTTGGCAAGTCCCTGAGCCGCCTTGCTGGACCTTTCCCTTTCCCGTGGTTGTTTGAGATGAACTGGTGATCACTGACTGGCTAGAATGTTTGGCCAGTGAGCTCTGGGGATCTGCACATTACTGGAGTTACAGATGTACACACGGTATGTTTGCTTGTGTGTGTGTACCGTTCTATGGCCCAGGCTGGCCATGAACTCACGATCCCCTTGCCACCCACCACACCCAGTCCAGTTAGCTCTCTGGAATAGATTTTCTTTTTCTTTTTTTTTGAGACTATCTCATACATCTTAGTCTGAACTCAAAATATCAAGTAGCCGTGGATGACACTGAACTCCTGACCTCCTGCCTCTGCTTCTGAAGGACTGGGTAACAGGCCTGGAGGAGCACCTTCCACACCTCAGCTAGGAGAAACCAAACCAATCAGCCACACCACAGTGCTCTTTTGTTTCTCCAGCCTCAGTGCCTTTGCACATGCTGGTCAGTTTACAGCTCACACACCTTTCCTGCGCCGCCGCCCCCCACCCCAGGGTTTCTCTGTGTAGTTTTGGTGCCTGTCCTGGATCTCGCTTTTTAGACCCGGCTGGCCTCGAACTCACAGAGATCCACCTGCCTCTGCCTCCTGAGTGCTGGGACTAAAGGCGTGCACCACCACCGCCCAGCAGCTCACACACCTTTTGCTTTCAACTCTCCCAGCAAGTCCTCAGGTAGGCATCTCTGGAAGCTGTGTCTGATATCTAGATCCCACTTCACACTGTCCTAGCTCTACGTATGTCCAGCTGCAGCTCTATGTGTGTTTGGGGCATTATGGAGTTGAATCCCACATTCCATTGGGCCTATAATCTCAGCACTTTGGAGGCTCCAATGCAAGGACAGCCTGAGTCTGAGGACAGCCTGGGTCTGCATAGCAGCATGGCAAGTTTCAGTACTGCCTGGGATATCTAGGAGATGTCAGTGGATGAAGCCTTTTCTGTGCAATACTGAGGACCTGAGTTTGAATCCCAGCACCCATGAACATGGCTGAGGTGGGCCCACCTGTAATTCCAGCACTTGGGGCTGATGATAGCAGATCTCCAGGGCCAGCTGGCTACCTAGACTAGCCAAAAACCAGGGAGCTCTGGTTCCAGCAGGAGGCCCTGCCATAAATAAAGAGATCCATCAAGGAATTCACCCTGATATTAACCTTGGGCCTCTATATGTACACACATGTGCTGTCAAATGTATGAACAGGCATACACATATGCAAAAAATATGAGTTACTCTTTTTTTGTTTCTTTGTTTTGTTTCTTGAGAGAGGGTTTCTCTGCATAACCCTGGCTGTCTGCCTCCTGAGTGCTGGGATTAATTAAAGGCATGCTCCACTGCTGCCAGCCTGAGTTCCTCTTTTGAGTCACTCCTAACCTGCAAAGACAGGAGCTGAGGTAAACATCTGTGGTCTGGGTCTGGCTTCTTACCCTCAGTTCCTCTCTTACCTTCCCACACAAGCCACAGTGGTCTCCTCACTGTTTCTGATGGAGCCAGACCTCGGGGTCTCTGCTATTCCCTCTGCCTAGACAGTCTCTACATTTTTGTTGTTGTTGAGAGTCTTATGTGGCCAGGGCTGGCCTTGAATTCACTATGTAGCTAAGGATGACCTTGAATTTCTGATTCTTCTGCTTGCACTTCCTAGCATTGGGACGACAGGCGTGTGCCATCAGCACATCACTAGATAATGTCCCCAGGCACCTAAACTGTAAGGCCTTGCCTGGCATGATACAATTTGGCTGTGATCCTAGGGCTTGGGAGGCAGGAAGATCAAAAGTTCTCTGCCAGGCTAGGCAGATCTCTGTGAGTTCAAGGCCAGCCTGGTCTGCATAGTAAATTCCAGGCCAGCCAGGGTGACACAGCGGGAAACTGTCTCAACCAAGGAGAAAAAAAGAAGAAGGCAGGGAGGGGAAGCCGGAGAGTTGACTCAGCAGGTAGGAGCACCGGCTGCTCTTCCGGAGGACCTAGGTCAATTCCTAGGACCAACATGGCAGCTCACAACCATCTGTAATCCCAGGTCCAGGGAATTAGATGCCTTCTTTTGGCCACCATGGGCATCACACATGCATGTGGTATACAGACATATATTCAGGCAAAATAGCCATACACATAAAATGAAAGTAAATAAATCTTAAAAAAAAAAAGGTTAGGCTGGACAATGGCGGCAGACCAAACACCCCACTATAATAATACTAGTAATGGGACCTGTAGGGCTGGCATAGTGAGCAGCCCTGACCACCAAGCCAGAGACCTGAGGTCAACCCCCAAAGCATACATGGTCGGAGAAGAGACCAGTTCCCACACACTGTCCTCTGACTCTCCACAAGTGCACCCACCCCGCCCAAACAAAATAAACAAGTGAAGAACAACACCAGCACCTCTTAAGGAAAAGCCCCTCCATCCTTGTGCCTTGTACGAAGCAGGTACTCGGTAAATATTTGGGGACCAAGTAACAAATGACTGTCCCACCTCTAACTTTCACCAAGGGGATCTAAGCAAATCCTAACTCCCCACCCTCGCTTCTACCCAGACCCTGATCTGTCCCCAAAGGTCCTCACCAGTATCGGGACCCAGTAATAATTGAGAGGCGGGGCTGTATCTTGCACGATTCTGATCCGATGGGTGAAGAAGAAGAAGGCCAGGATGCCTAAGATGGGATGAAGCAAGATGGCTGAGTCCTCAAACAGGACTCAGCAGAAGATGACCTGAGCCTGACACCAGGCTCAGGTCACTCCCCACAGGCTTCCATACCCCAGCAGGGACAGGCCCAGCAGTGCCACTCACCCACACTACCCACAATCAGAAGTTTGCCCAACAGGAAGAGGAAGTCGGTAACTTTGTCCAGGACAGCCACCCTGTAGGGAAGAGTAAAGGGTAAGTGTGAATGTGGACTCCGAGCCTGGGGGAAGAGGCAGGATAAGCGGAAGGCTGGCTAGGAAAGGGGCCGAGGGCGGGAGGGAGGCTGGGAGAGAGAAGTGTGTCCCCTAACCTGATGATGTTTCTCATAAGCAGAAAGAAGGCGTTCCTGGCTGAGGTGCAGAAGTTGGTGCCGTAGATGGCAATCTGGAATGAAGAGAGGGTCTGAGGCTTGTGCGATGGACATGGGGGGGCACCCCACCCAGGACAGCACACAGCCCTGCTGCTCACCATGATATAGGCATTCCTATTCAGGAACTTGATAAACTTCTCTAGGCACCAGAAGCAGCACTTGAGACAGACCATGAGGAACTTGGCAAACTTGTTCTGTGCAACTGGAAGAGAAGAGAAGGGATGTAGGGGAGGCAAGAGACTGGCCTGGTTTGGTAGAGACCCTAGAGTCCACCAAGGCAGCTAAGGATTACAAGTTGGAGGCCTGCCTGAACTACTAGGCTAACCTGCACAACTTAGCGAGACTGCCTCAAAATCAATCAATCAATCAATCCAGGAGCTGACCCACAAGAGGAATCTCCAAGCATCAGGAATTAAGGTCATCCGTGGCTATTCAGTGAGTTGGATGCCAGCCTTTTAAATGAAGACAGCGGGGGTGGTGGTGATGTATGTCTTCAATCCTAGCACTTGGAGACAGAGGAGGTGGACCTGGTAGTTCTAGGCCACTTTGGTCTACATACCGAGTCTGAGGTCAGCCAGGACTACACAGTAAAAAGTTGTCTCGAAAAACTAAAACCCTGTCGGCGGTGGTGGCGCACGCCTTTAATCCCAGCACTCGGGAGGCAGAGACAGGTGGATCTCTGTGAGTTCAAGGTCAACCTGGTCTACAGAGTGAGTTCCAGGACAGCCAGGACTGTTTCACAGAGGAACCCTGTCTCGAAAAACCAAAAACCCAGCCCGGCCTTGCTAGCCAGAGCCAATGGCCCACCGCTCCTCCTGGACCTGCCCATCAACAACAGGAACTCTAATCAGTTCACTTGGCTCTTCTAGCTCCTCCTCTGCCTCTTAGCTCCACCTCTTCCTCAAACGGAAACCCAGTAGAGGCTTAGCTCTGGCCCCCACCCCCAAGCAATACCCAACCGGGACTAAGCCCAGACCCTAGGGGAAGCTGCAGGCAGGGCCGCACCTTTCAGACGCTGGTCCAGGTACTCCAGTATCACTCGGATGATCTGCACGATGGCCAGGATAAGCGAGCCAAAGGCCAAGGAGCCCGTGTGGTATCTGGAATCAAAAGAGGCGATCAGTGGTCCATGAAGTCCCTGCGTGCCTTCTCTTACCATCTCAACACTCCTCTTTACCTGAGGGCTCGGCCAAAAGCGGAGAAGAGGGGGAAGGCGGGCATGTCATCCGGCTTGCGCATAGCCCAGTAATAGGAGGCAAAGGCTCCAGCCAAGGTCACCTGGCCCAGAGCCAGCACGAAGTTGGCCAGCCAGAAGAACATGAAGGCGTTGAAGATCTGCAGGCCCAGCAGGGCACGGTGATAGGTAGACTCGCCACCGTAGAAGGCAAACTGGCAGCGGCCACCGGGACATTGGCGGCTTTCATTGGCTGAGGGGAAGGTCTGGGGAAGGGGTAAGGGACCCCGACAGAACACAGGGTCAGTTAGAAGTTCAGAGTAGGCTGAGGTTGGACCACAGGGCAGGTCCTAGAAGCAAGACTACTCATTACAAAAGTAATGGGGGGCTAGGGAAATGGCTCAGTGGGTAAGAGGACTTAATGAGTTCAAGCCTCCATCACTCACTCCCATAAATAGTGGGTGTGGCCTGTGCTCACCTGTAGCTCTGGTGCTTAGCTCCTGATTTAGTGAGAGATGCTGTCTGAGGGGAATAGGCTGAGAAATACAGAGCAAGGCACCTCCACAAACACATACGTACATATACTACACCACACCACACCACACCACACCACACCCACCACACCACACACACACACACACACACACACACACACACACACACACACACACACACACACACACACACACACACCAGAAGTCAAGAAAAGGGTAGAGGGACAGAAAGTGGCACCAGAGAGGGAAAGAGGTACATAGTTCAGCATGCAGGTTAGGGGACAGCCCAAGTTGATCAGTCTTGCCTTGCCCTGAAAAACTGCCGAATCCAGCAATGGCTTGAGAGTTCCAACCCGCTAAGGCAAAGTGCCAAATGTTTGCTGAATTATCTTCAAGGAAAGGCCATGAGGGCAATGCCTCCTCCCCACGACAGGGATGCCTACCTCTGGCTTGCAGGTATTCCCCACAAGTTGGCAGGATGCGTCATCAAAAATCTTGTACACAGCCTCATTAGAGGTAGACAGGAAGCTGCAGGCTCGTTAAGGAAACTGAAATCTGGGACTGAGAATCCAAGGAGTTGAGGGAAGCCAGGAGTAGCGGCTCGCCCTTGTAATCCCAAGACTTGGGAGACAGAAGTAACAGAATCACTGTGCATTGGAGACCAGCCTGGGCTACACAGTAAGTTCCAGAAAATCTAAACCACAGAGTAAGGCTCTATCTGAAAGAAGCAAAAAAGGGGCAGGGAGATGACCCATCTGATAAAGCACCCACCGCCGCACCGAATGCCAAGTAGGATACCCAGGACCCACTCACAGAGGAGAACTGATGCCTGCAAGTTGTCTTGTGACCTCTGAATACTGCTGTCCCTTTACCCAAAATATATAAGTGCAATAACATTTTTGTTTGCTTTGTTTTTCGAGACAGGGTTTCTCTGTGTAGCCCTAGCTATCCTGGAACTCACTCTGTAGACCAGGCTGGCCTCAAACTCACAGAGATCCACCTGCCTCTGCCTGCTGAGTGCTGGGATTAAAGACGTACCACCACCGCCCAGCCTAGAAAATTTTAAAATAAAGAGAGCCATGGGGAAAGGACCACACACCCCACCCACCGTCCAATCCCACCCTGGCTACAGGACATTGAGGGACATTTGTCCCTGGGAACCACAGACTGACAAGCCAGCAGTGGATACACAGCAGTGCTGGCCCAGTAGGCAATGCAGAGACACAAGAGGAAGAAAGTCACCAGTGGGTAGAGCATGGAGCACATGACATGTCCCACAGCTCTGCGGAGAAACACAGACAGACATCAGGGCCAGATGCCCCAGGGTGAGAAGCCAGGCACATCCCTGGCTCTCCAGGCCTCACCTGCTGGCTTCTTTGATGAGGGCTATGGCGATCAATATCCTCTTTCGAAGAAAGATGAGTAACAAGATGATAACCACTTCTAGGATGCTTAAAATGATCACTGTGGAGAAAGGTGGGCAGCCATAGGTTGACTCATCAGCTAAAGACACTTGCATCTTAGTTCAGTTCCCAGAGCCCACAGGTGAAAGCAGAGAGCTGATTCGTGAAAGTCGTCCTCTGACCTCCATACATCAGGGCTTTGGCATAGATGTCCCCTCCCAACAAAGACATACAATATATAATTTTTAAAAATTAAAAGTAATAAATAGGCTGGGCGATGGTGGCGCATGCCTTTAATCCCAGCACTTGGGAGGCAGAGGCAGGCGGATCTCTGTGAGCTCGAGGCCAGCCTGGTCTACAGAGCGAGAGCCAAGAAAGGTGCAAAGCTACACAGAGAAACCCTGTCTCGAAAAACTAAACAAAACAAAAAGTAATAACAAATAAAATTGATTTAAAAATAAATAAAGTAACGTACAATTAAATGATTTCTGTAAGAACTGAGAGTAAGCTTTTTGGGAGCCTACCCTAACCCCTCCAAGATTTCCCACAATGCAAGCATGGGGGCAGGTGACAGAACTCACTGAAGGCCATCCAGGTCTGCCGCAAGTGCAGGTACACTCGGAGGTCTGTCTGGAAGCCAAGATCTACCAAGGAGACGTCGGAGCCTGCCTCTCCACTCAGTCTCGAGTACTCCATATAGCAGTGAAATATACCTGCATAGAGCCACAACCCAGACAGTAATTTTCTTTTTTGTTTGTTTTTTGAGACAGGGTCTCACTATGTAGGCCTGGCTGGCCTGGAACTTGCTATAAGACCAGGCTCTCGATTGATAATGGATGAAAGAATGAATGGGTGTTAGGATTCCCACCTGATGACAACCTGCAGCCAGGTCTAAAGGGTGGCCCAGGCCTTTAAAGCCAGAGGAAGGCAGATCTTTACATGGTTAGTTGTAACACGAATCTTAAAATGGTCTTTTAATAAAAAACCCCAGAGCCAGAAATTGGGGTAAATGCTGAAAGTTCAGAGAGACAAAGGAACAAGCCAGTGCCACCTCTTACCTCTAGGACTCCTCAGCCTGAAAAGCTTCTAGTTCCTGTCTCCTCAGCCTTATATACCTTTCTCTGCCCTGCCATATCACTTCCTGTCTCAACCTCTGAAGTGCTGGGATTAAAGGCATGTGACTCCCTAGTGCTGGGAGTAAAGGTGTGTGTCACCACTGCCTGGCTCTGTTTCTCTCCTAGACTGAGTCAATCTCATGTAATCCAGGGTGGCTTTGAACTCACAGAGATCCAGACGGATCTCTGCCTCCTGAATGCTAGGATTAAAGGTGTGTGCCACCACTGCCTGGCATCTATGTTTAATCTAGTGGCTTGTTCTGTCCTCTGAGCTTCAGGCAAAGTTTATTAGGGTACACAATATATTACCACACTTCCCCTTTTCTTTGTCTAAAATAATAAAAGAAGGTTATAATTAATATATATTGTGTACCCTAATAAACTTTGCCTGAAGATCAGAGGACAGAACAAGCCACTAGATTAAACACAGAGGCCAGGCAGTGAAAGGTATATAAGGCGTAAGGAGACAGGAATTAAAGCCTTTTCAGCTGAGGAAGCTCATGCGGCTAGAGGCCTACTGGCCGAGGCTCTTTCAGGCTGAGGAATTGGTGAGGTAAGAGGTGGTGGCTGTGGCTTGTTCTGTCCTCTGATCTTTAGGCAAAGTTTATTAGGGTACACAATATTATCACCACAGCTAGTTCCAGTCCAGCCAGGGCTCTAGACACTGAGACCCTGCCTCAAAATACAAAACAAAAATAAAGTCACCTAAATTACCAACAACAGCTCGAACCATGATTAACATGAATAATTTTTTTTTTCTGTTTTTGAGACAAGCTCTTACTATGTGGCAGGATCTATATTCAAATTTATGACCCTCCTGACTTCGCTTCCTTTGGCAGATGATAACAGGCATGTACCACCATGCTAACACAAAATGTTTTGGGATCTGGATCTTCAGATTGAGTTCCCAAGCATTTATCATTTCAGGGAGTTTAAAAGGAAGAAAATCAGAATAAGGGCTCAGTGGATGACGGTACCCGCTGCTGAGCCTGAAGACCTGAGTTCAATCCCTGGTACCCACATAGTAAAAGGAGAGAAACCAACTTGTCCTCTGGCCTCTATACACGCATCGTGGTGCACGTGTATCTACACACATATGCGTGCACACAGACACACACAATAAATGAACGTAATATAAAAATACAAAAGAAAAGCCAGGCAGTGGAGACACTGGCCTTTAATCCCAGCACTCCAGAGGCAGAGACAGACAGATCTCTGAGTTCAAAGCCAGCCTGAGTTCCAGGACAGCCAGGCTACACAGAGAAACCCTGTCTTGAAAAACTACTCCCCCAAACAAACAAACACAAAAGAGGAAAACTTAATCAGAACATGAGCCACTGGTTCCTCACCAGGCCTCCGCCCTGCACAGGCCCTCCTCTTGATAAGACCGTCACATTACTACATCACCACCTTCTCATTAAGTCTCCAACTAGGAAACATTAATTATTCCCACCAGATGGTGGAAGTAATTATGCATAGGGAGGCTTAGTCATGTGCCCAAGGACAGAGCTAGGAAGCAGCGAAGCTGGTATTTGAACCCAGCACCTTAGGCACTACAGTGCATAAGCCTACTCACTAGACTAAGTGGATGTCTTCATAATGTTTTTTATTGTTGATTAAAAATACCAACCAGGGCCCTGGTTCTCAAAGTTCAGAGGGAAATTTTTTTTTTCTTTTCTCTTTTTTTTGTGGTAGGGGACCTTGCATGTGCTGGCACTGTCACACTGAGCCAGGACACCAGCCCCTCGCTGAGGGCATTCCAGACAGGGGGTCTCCCACTGAGCTACAATCACAGCCCCTCACTGGCAGGATATAGGCAAGTGCCTGAGTTACAAGCTTAGCCCCAGCAAGCCCTCTTGACAGGCTCTGGCTCCCTCAAAGTGTTTCAACAGCAGCACTGTTGTAGCAGGAACAGTAGCGTGAACATTTTCACAAGCATGTCAGTTACACAGTGACAAACATCTGAAGGCTTAAGATGACATTTCTGATGAGCTGTCACCAGGGCAAAAGGCATTAGACAGGGAGGATAGGAGGAAGGGGGAGACGCACCATAGCCAAGTACCAGGATCACCATGACAATCATCACCCAGACCATAACGCCTGCCAGGAATCGCAACAGGATGATGAACAGGAGACTCAGCACCATGGCAATGACCAAACCTCTGGGGAATAAGACAGGAGCGTGAGTGACACTATTCTTAGGCCCACAGATGTGGTAGCCAGGGGACAGCCACCTTCTTTCCAACTCACATCACAATCCAGTACCAGGATACAGTGTAATCTTCAAATATCTTCATGGCGAGATGCCGGGCCTCTAGAACCATGTTGGCTTTCCTAGGGGCGGAAGAGACTCAAGTCATACCCAGAGAAGCCAGCTCCAGTCCCACCCAGGACGCCCAGGCGCCGTCTACTGGAGGGCTGCCTTCTCACTTGGCACCCTCCACCAGTTCTGTGATGTTCTTCATGGTGCCATGTCCATCCTCGTAGGTCGTCTTATTGCCCACCATGAGGACCCCTTTGTTGGCGTGGATGGCTGGGAAGCACCGCCGGGCCACTGTGGGACCAGAAGAGACTGTCACACCAGCCCTTGCCGATTCCCCAGTGTCACCTGATCCTGTGGGGTCCCCAGTACTCACAGGGTTTGCTGGGGGTGATAACCGCTGGACACTCCCCATCTCGGAGCACCTCAGCCAACCCCTGCAGACAGAATGGGAAGAAATGAATCCCTGAGGAGGGCACCCTCCTGTGTCCCCTCCCATGTTCCCTCCCTGGGCACCGAAGGGGTCTTTCTGCTCACTTTATTGTTCTGGAAGCCGGGCACGCAGAACTGCTTATAATAATCAAAGTTATGAGAGTTGCGTGCATCCAGGAAGGTGAGAAAGCGGTCCGGGCATTGCTTGACGCAGATCTGGGGGAGTGGAACGAAGGGATGTGGAATCAGGACACTGAGACTCCATCCAGGACAGAGGTCCCCGATGTTCACGAGGAGAGGGCTATGGGAAACATGCAAGGGAACAGGAAGAGGTGGGACACGTTACCTGAGGGGTGGGACACTGAAATTCCAGCAGGACCAGGGGGCTGGCACACTTCACGATGTTGAAGTAAAACAGGAAGGGTTTGTCCCTGGGTTGGAGGAGGTGAACAGAGTTGGTCAAGCTTCTCACCTATCGGGCCCAGAGATGGCTCAGAGGGTTAGGGCACCTGGCACCAGGCCTGCCAACCTGAGTTCCATCCCTGGGAATCACACGACGGAAGAAAAGTACAGATCTCTGACCTCCACATGGGTGTTTGTGACTGAGTGCACGCACACAGATGAATAACTCACGCATTGTTTGTTCCCTTCTGTCCACAGAACTCGCCCCGGCTATCAGTAGGGTAGATCACCTTCCGAGGGTCTCCATGGGTCCAGGCTGAGGAGAGACCCAGGGATTCAGAGGCTCTGGCCCTTCCCAGCCACAGTACCACTCTGTACCCCAGAGGCTGTGCTGGCCCCTCCCAGAAAAGCCCAAGTCCTCTCCCTTTCCAAACTTACCTATGATGCCCACAGCCACGTAGCCCACAATGGCCAAGAAGAGCAACACACAGCAAATGACATCTGTGCAGCCCCTGGGGAGGACAGCAGCATCAGCACATCTGACTTACACACACCCTTTTATGAGGAATCTGAAGTGTGGGCTAAGGATCGTGCGCCTTATTTTTCCCAGACTGGCCACAAACTCACAGAGATCCACCTACCCCTGCCCTCTGAGTGCTAGGATTAAAGGTATATGCTACCACACCTGGCCTATGTGCATTTTTAAAGTTTTGTACTTAGGTATATGGGTGTCTTACCTGCACAGTACGTCTGTGAGTCATGTTTGTGCCTAGTGCCTGTGGACTCCAGAAGAGGGCATCAGGACCCTTGAACTGCATGTAGTGTTGGGAATTGAACATGGGTCCTCTAAAAGAGCAACCAGCGCTTTTAAAGACAGAGCCATCGCTCCAGTCCCAGGTCATATGCATTTTGCTGCTTCTCTATTTCTTGATTGTGTGTGTGTGTCTAGGTTAGAGGACAACTTTTGGAACTGGTTCTCTCTTCTCTCTCTCTGCCGTGTGGTTCCAGGGACAGATCACGAGCCTACTCTGAACCATCTGTCCTTGCTGAGCTACCCTGCCACCCTTTTAACTTTTTATTTACTTATTTAACACAGGGTCCCACATACTCAAGGCTCCCCTAAACTTGCTATGTAGTCAAGCTTGAACTCCTGATCCTCCTGCCTCCACTTCCTGAGTGCTTAGGTTATAAAGTAGGCTGGTCATATCCAGTGAGTTCATTCAGTGCTGGAGTGGACACAGGGCTTCCTGCATTCTAGCTAAGTACTAAGTACAGTACAAACCAAACTACATCTCCAGTCCTGGCTTTAAAACACACACACACACACACACACACACACATATACATATATATGTGTTTTAAATATATAAATATAAATATATATATCTGAGGTGCTGCCAGGCAGTGGTGGTGCACGCCTTTAATCCCAGCCCTCGGGAGGCAGAGCCAGGCGGATCTCTGTGAGTTCGAGGCCAGCCTGGGCTACAGAGAGAGATGCAGGACAGGCTCCAAAAAGCTACACAGAGAAACCCTGTCTCGAAAACAACAACAAAAAATCTGAGGTGCTGAAGAGATGGCTCAGCAGTGAAAACCACTTGTTGCAGGCTGGGTGTGGCGCACGCCTTTAATCCCAGCATTCTGGAGGCAGAAGCAGGTGAATGTCTGAGTTCAAAGCCAGCCTGGTCTACAGAGCTACACAGAGAAACCTTGTCTCAAAAACAAAACAAAACAAACAAAAAGCACTGTTGCTCTTCCAGAGGACGCAGGTTCAGTTCTCAGCATCTACGTGGTGGTTCACAACCATCGCTAACTCCAGATCCAGGGGTACTGACGTCCTCTTCTGACCTCGGCAGGCAGCAGGCAAGCATGCATGTGATGCACAGACATACATGCAGGCAAACACACACATAAAATAAATAAAACAAATCCATTTAAAACTTTGAGAAAGGATCTCTGGAATGAGATGACCATCCAGGCAGGCCTTGAACTTTCTTTCTTTTTTTCTTTAAATAGTCACTTTTTTTTTCTTTAAATAGGGCAGTGGTGCACACTTTTAATCCTAGCACTTGGGAGGCAAAGGCAGGCAGATGTCTGTGAGTTTGAGACCAGCCTGGTCTACAGAGCTAGTTCTAGGACAGCCAGGGCTACACAGAGAGATCCTATCTTGAAAACCAAAAAAAAAAAAAAAAAAAAAGAAAGTAATAGTCACGAAATAAAAAGAGAGTGGATAACGAGACAGCTTGAGGGTTAAGAGCACTGGGTTTGATTCCCAGCACCCAGCTGTTGACTCCTAGTCCAGGGGATCCAACCCCTCATTCTGGCCTCCTTGGACACCAGGCAGGCACACAAACCATAGACATAAATGCAAGCAAGACAACAATGCATCTCCAGGGGATCTCATCCAGCGCGCGCGCGCGTGCGCGCGCGCACGCACACACACACACACACACACACACACACACACACACACACACACACACACACACGGAGACAACAATGCAGCTCCAGGGGATCTCAACCACCACACGACGCACGTGCACACACACACACACACACACACACACACACACACACACACACACACGGAGACAACAATGCAGCTCCAGGGGATCTGAGCCCTCTCAACCACTACATGATGCGCGCACACACACATGGAGACAAAACATTCATCCACATAAAATTAAATCTAAAAAAATTTAGGTAGAAGCTGGGTGTAGCAGCACATGCCTTTAACCCAGGACTCTGACAGGCTCTCTCTGCGTAGCCCTGGCTGTCTAGGAACTGGCTCTGTAGACCAGGCTCAGGACTCTTTTTTTTTTTTTTTCTGAGACAGGGTTCTCTGTGTAGCTTTGGAGCCTGTCCTAGAACTCATTCTGTAGCCCAGGCTGGCCTCAGACTCACAGAGATCCACCTGGCTCTGCCTCCCGAGTGCTGGGATTAAAGGTGTGCGCCACCACCGCCCGACAAGGACTCTCTTTTTTAAATACTTGTATTAATAATTTGAGAATTCCATGCAATATATTATGATTGTATTATCCTCCCCCCAAGGCCTTGAGCTTTTGATCCTCTTGCCTCCTAAGTAGCTAGGATCACAGGACTGGGAAGCTACATACAGCTGAAATAAAATTTTGTTTATGTGTACAAGGCTCATGTAGAGACAAGTGGATCTCTCCGAGTTCGAGGCCAGCCCGGTCTACATAAAGGGTTCCAGGACGGCCAGAACTACAAAGAAAGACCCTGTCTCAAAAACAAAAACCCCACAAAAGTAAACAAACAAACAAAAAGTAGGGGTGGGATTGGGACCCAGTGGTGGCGCCCTTGCTTAGCACTGAGGTAGAGAGAGGGAGGGGTCAGGGCGATGGTTCAGCAGATATAGGCAAACTGTTTCGGATCCTGGGGACCCACATGATAGAAGGAGAAAACCAACTCATGCAGGTTGTCCTCTGACCTCCACACATGCACAGCGACACATGCACACGCCACCCATACATACTGACGCGCATGCACACACACACACACACACACACACACACACACACACACACACACACACACACACACACACACGAATGTAAAAAAAGAAAAGAAAAGGATCCAGGCAAGGGCAGGGGCACAACGCAAGCCTCCGGTGTGAGGCTCAATTCCGTTCCCAGCCCCACTGGAAGGAGTCTAGAACCTTAAAGAAATTAGCTTTTGACTCACATCGCAATGGTTTACCCCGCTCTGCTGGAGAACGCAGGGACACAGACACTCTCCCATTCTTTCCCCTCTTCCCCAGTAAGGTAAGGCCTCCTACCTGTTGTAAATGGGTCCTTTGAAGGTGGGGTCGTATTTCTGAGGCGTCCCTGAAAGTCAATAGGATTAAGCAGGGTTGGTGAGAAGACACAGCCAAGGAAGCTGGGACCCAGGGTCCCCAAGCCATAAGGAGCGCTGAGTTGTATCTGCATCCTACCTCCAGGGGACTACACTCACACTCTGAGGTCACCAGAGACCACAGCAGGAACTAGAGTCCCTGGGGGTAATCAGCTGATGGATCAGCTTGCTGTCCCAGGGAAAATGCCTGGGAACCTTACAAGGATCAGAGCAAAGAACGCGAAGTCCACTGCGGAGAGGTGCAGGTGTTCTGGGGATGGGTGCAGGCCCTGGAGAGTGGACCGGTGTCTGAGGCAGCTGTCTGAGGCAGCTGTCAGAGCTAACATGGGAAGTCCGGGGCCGGGGGCCGGGGGCCGGGGGGGGGGGGGGGGGGGGGGGCGCGGTGGTGGCGGTGGGGCTGTGATTCAAGTGCAATTACTCCCCCTCCCTTTTGCAACCTTCCCTGGCAGTCTAAGGTCCCCACTGCTCTCCCCAGGGTGCACAAGGAGGGCTCGTACCGTGCTTCCCGTAGTAATGCTGCGAATCCTTCCCCATTCCTGCGGTGCAGCCCCGACGGCGCCCTGACGGTCCCGTGCCCTCCCGGACACAGCCGCCACCCGCAGCAGCTCCTCCAAGCAGAGTGGCAGGCGGGACGGCCCAAACCGGTCAGACAGGCCCCAGTCAAATAACCAAGAGGGGAGGGACCGACCCAGGGGGCCGGGCCGGGCGGGGCCGCAGCTGCTCCTGCCACTCACTGGAAGGCCGGATTTAGCCCTCCCTGCCCCCACCTTCACCCAGCCCCCACCCAGGAGCCTGAGGTGGCTCCTCCGGGCTCTGGCCTCATCCTCCACCCACCCACCTTCCACCCACCCACACGACAATGCATCCAGGGACACTCCTCAACCCTAAAAGATCATCCTGACTGCTCCACCATGCAAGTTGGAAACTGAGGCACAGGGAGGAAAGAAAGCAGGCAGATATCTTGGCGGTGGGGCGCACGCCTTTAATCCCAAAACTCGGGAGGCAGAGCCAGGTGGATCTCTGAGTTCGAGGCCAGCCTGGTCTACAGAGCCAGTTCTAGGACACACAGAGAAACCCTCTCTCGGAAAACAAAACAAAATAACAACAACAAAAAACAAGCAACCAAAGAGAAAATATTTGGGCTAAAACTCAAATAAATGGATGGAATGGGGCTGGGGTCTATTGGCGCTTTTTAATTATTTTTTTTAGAGAGAGTCTTGCGGGCATACAGCTCATGTTCAGGCAAGCGCCATCTTAAATTATTCATCCTTCTGCCTCCGCCTCCCCGGTGCTAGGATTGAGCCCGGATCCTTTCTAAGAGTAGCAAGCACTGAGCGTCTCTCTCTCGCTCCTCGTGTGTGGTGTGTGGTGTGTGGTGTGTGGTGTGTGGTGTGTGGTGTGTGTGTGTGTGTGTGTGTGTGTGTGTGTGTGTGTGTGTGTGTGTGTGTGTGTGTGTGTGTGTGTGTGTGTGTTTTGATGCAGGGTCTCACTATGCATGTCTGACTAGCCTCTAACTCTCAAGGATCCTCCTGCTTTGGCCTCCAGAATGTTGGGGTGAGGGGCACATGCCATTATACCTGGATTTTCTTCTTCTTTTTTTTTAAGCATTTTATTTCCAATCTCTGTGAGTTTGAGGCCAGCCTGGTCTACAAAGAGAGTTCCAGGACAGCCAGAGCTACACAGTGAGACCCTGCCTCGGAAAAAAGTAATTCTATTTATGTGGGTGGGTAATTTTCGCTTGTCTATAGGTGCTGTAAGAGGTCAGCCTCTCCAATCTCTTTCAAAACAAGAAAAATCTGGCTAGACCACATATAAGATCAAGTTCAAGGTTGGAGATTTGGCTCAGAGGTTAAGAGTACTAGCTGCTCTTCCAGAGGGCCCAGGTTCAATTCCCAGCACCCACATGGCAGCTGTCTGTAACTCTGGTTTCAGGGGACCTGATGTCCTCACTCAGACATACATGCAGACAAAACACCAATGCACATAAAATGAAAATAAATAAAAAATTTTAAAAAAAAAAGGAGGTTCAAGACCAGTCTGAGATTCACACAGCAGCAGCAGAAAATGCCAATCCTGGCCTCTGGGATCAGGCACAGGATGCCAGGGGTATGCAGCCAGCACTAGGGCTTAAGGACACAAAAGATGAGCTGTCGGGTGTTCAGTCATGGTGGGGTCGACAGCAGGTGTCAGCGTGGGGCACAGCTGGGGTCACATTATACAGTAGGCATGGAGGTATAGATTGTGTATTTCCATAAGGGTATTTAATCCACCAGGAAGTATACTGAAGAAGCAGGGCATCCAGGTGCTGGTGGCGCACACCTTTAATCCCAGCACTTGGGAGGCAGAGGCTGGCAGATCTCTGTGAGTTTGACATCAGCCTGGTCTACAGAGCTAGTTTCAGGACAGGCAGGGTTACATAGAGAAACCCTGTCTCAGAAGAAGAAGAAAAAAAAGCAAAACACAAAGAAGCAGGGTATACAGTTGGTGTAATATGTATGCCATCATATGTGTGTACTATAAGGGCACCCAACACACATGGTGAGAGTCAATGTCTGTACCCCTCATCACTACTGTACACACCCAAAACAACCATCAAACCACACTAAGGCAGACTCAGTGGTAGAGCCCCTGCCTAGAATCCCCCAATGAGGGGCTGGGGTGTGGCTCAGTGGTAGAGCCCTGCCTAGAATCCCCCAGTGAGGGGCTGGGGTGTGGCTCAGTGGTAGAGCACCTGCCTAGAATCCCCCAGTGAGGGGCTGGGGTGTGGCTCAGTGGTAGAGCCCCTGACTAGAATCCCCCAGTGAGGGGCTGGAGGTGTGGCTCAGTGGTAAAGCCCCTGCCTAGAATCCCCCAGTGAGGGACTGGGGTGTGGCTCAGTGGTAGAGCCTAACATGGGGAAGGCATGAGTTCTAGCTGAACACTCTCACACAAAAACTATTAATACCTGCAGCTGCCACCTCAGAGTCTAGCACACCCCGCTGGGCCCTGCTCTCTAATCAGTTGTCCCCAGAGAAAGGCCACCTCCCCTCCTCTGGCTCACGTAAGGAAGCCTTGCCTGACCCCAAAGCCACAGCTTCAGCAAACAGGCGGTGCTAAAAGCTCCAAGCTGACCCAGGCTGACCAGAACTCTCAAAGAAACGCTGTGTCTCTTGAAGCCCCAGCAGGCCGCAAGAGCAGCCCTCACCTAGATTTAGCAGTGGACAGAGCAGATTGGTCCCAGGCAACAAGCTGCTTCTGCTCCAAGCTAGACAGTCCCTTGTGGAAAATCAAACAAAGTGTCCCCAGCCACCACATCCTCAATGACAGTCCTCAAATGGCTGCCTCACATGGGCTCACCTGACCCCTGCTACTCTTCAGGAGGCCTCAGTGTCATCTCATTCTTGTCAAGGTCATTTGCAAACCTCTGTCTCTCAACCTGACCCAGCAGGGTGATGACCGCTCCTTTGGTGTTGGGCTCTGAGCTGAGCCCAAGGAGTCTTGCTTCATATCCAGTTCCTTTATTTTTTTTTTTTTTTTTTTTTTTTTTGGTTTTTCTTTTTTTTTTTTTTTTTTTTTTTTTGGTTTTTCGAGACAGGGTTTCTCTGTGTAGCTTTGCGCCTTTCCTGGTACTCGCTTTGGAGACCAGGCTGGCCTCGAACTCACAGAGATCCACCTGGCTCTGCCTCCCGAGTGCTGGGATTAAAGGCGTGCGCCACCACCGCCCGGCGCAGTTCCTTTATTTGAGATAGAGTGCTTAGTAGTCTGATTTCTGTAAAGCCCTAAGTTCAATCCCCAGGAAACTCTTTCCCCTAAATTCTGGGCTTGGTGTTCTACAAGTGTCACCCCAGCACTTGAGAGGCTGAAGCAGGATTGCCTTGAGTTGAGGCCACCCTGGGTTGCATAGCTAAACCCTGGCTGAAATAAATGAACTACTTGGGGCTGGAGAGGTGGCTCAGGGGTTGAAAGCGCTTGCTGTTCTTGCTGAGGACTGGAGTTCAGTTCCCAGCACCCACATGACAGCTCCTCCTGAAACTCCACACACATACCTCTTCCACCTACCTCTCAGGGCACCAGGTACACGGTAAACATATGTACTTGCAGGCACTCATGCATACACATGAAATAAAAGTAAACAGATATTTTTTAAACATTTAGAAACTTTGAGCAGGCCACTGTGGCACACACTTAATCCCTGCACTTTGGAGGCAGAGACAAGTGGACCTCTATGAGTTCCAGGCCAACCTGGTCTACAGAGCAAGTTCTAAGCCAGTCAGTGTTACACAGGGAGACACTGTCAAAAACAGAAGCCAAACCACACCAAGAATTTAAAGCTGGCCTGGGTCACACACCTGTGACCAGCATTAGGAAGGTGCCCTCGCTGGGCAGTGGTGGCACACTCCTTCAATCCCAGCACTCGGGAGGGAGAGGCAGGTGGATCTCTGTGAGTTTGAGGCCAGAAAAGCCAACAGGCTACACAGAGAAACTCTGTCTCCAAAAATTGGGCAGAAGAAGGAGGAGGAGAGTGAAACTCAGCTACAAATTTTCAGTCCACAGGTAAAGCAAAAATGTTTAAGTCGCCGGGCGGTGGTGGCATACACCTTTAATCCCAGCACTCGGGAGGCAGAGCCAGGCGGATCTCTGTGAGTTGGAGGCCAACCTGGGCTACCAAGTGAGTTCCAGGAAAGGCGCAAAGCTACACAGAGAAACCCTGTCTCGAAAAACCAAAAAAAAAAAAAAAATGTTTAAGTCGGTATGCTTGATATGTAAGTGGAAGAAAATAGCCCTGACTCAGAGGCAGACAAATTCCACAGGAATTAATCATACAAATATATAAAACCTCAAACAACTAGAAGCACAAAGAAGCTCCAGGAAACTGAGTCTCTGATAGGAAGGCTGGTCAGGCAAGTGGGAGGGAGGATAAGGGAGCACTAGATGTTTCTAGTGTCAACTGGGATGCCTGGCCGAGGAACAGCCACACGGAGAGTCATTGCTGACACCTTTCAATCCACTTCCCCCGGGAAACCCATCCCTGCCAGCTCTAAGTGTCCACCCCCAATTTAGGATTGATGGGCAAGCGGGAGCCGCGGAGAATGAGCAAGAACGGAAGACCTATCCAGGGGAGAGAGCGTGTGGGATTCTGTTGTCTAGCAGCTGACCGCGCTCTCTCAGAGAAAGATGGAACTCAGGTTAACCTTCAGACAGAATTCAGAACGCAGACAGGGGTGAAATGGTTCAGAAGTAGAGGAGCTTGCCGCCAGGACTGATGACCCGAGTTCCATCCCCAGGCCCCACATGCTGAAGGCAAAGAACTGACTCCTGTAAGTTTTCCTGACCTCTGACCTCCGTGTGCATGCTATGAAGCAGCCCCCCCACCACACACATAATAAATAAATGTAACTTTGTTTAAATGTAGAGAAGTCATCCAGAATGGGCTTGGCTCAGGCCCAGCACTGAGGCCTCTCAGGAAAACACGAGAACATTCCCATCTGACGGCTCTAGTAGCTCATTAAGCTCAGCTACTTGGGGATGAGAAAGGTGGGAAGCCGCAAAAGCTAACAGTTTCTGATCATGAAGGCTGATCCAATACTTACAGATGGGAAAGGGCTGGGTCTTTGCAACCACAATGCCAGATGGTTCGAACAGAAAGCGAGCGTGAAAGAGGGGAGGAGGAAGTGGCCAAAGCACCTGCCTAGGAGGCAGGAAGTCCTGCTCCATTCCCCGGGTCGAATAAATAGGGTGTACATGCTGGCCAT